GTGACCTAAGCAGGACCAATCAGAGATTTTTCATAAGATTTTATGTAAAGACTCTATGCCTTTTGCAGCATAAACTGTAACAATATGAACTTAAAACTACTAGTAACCATTTTTCTACCATGTGAAAGAAACCTATTTCAGGACAAAAAACATCTAATGTTCAGACAGAAGCTGTGAAAAGGTAAGATATGCTTGTATATGAAGGGCCTTTATGACTTTAATTGCATCCCTGTCTCCAGCCATGCATGTAGGATTTGCCCTTGGACTTCCTAGTCGATGAGCCCATAAATCCTTTTTTTTTTAATTTTAAAATTTTTAATTTTTTTCATTGTATATGTTTATGGGGTGCAGTTTGTTGTTTCAATACATGAATATATTGTATAATAATCAGAACAGTTAGCATATCTATCACTTAAACATTTATCATTTCTTTGTGGTTATAACATTCAAGATCCTCTTTTCTAGCTGTCTTGAAATAAATGACATAATATTATTAGTTACTGTCACCCTAGAGCACCAGAACTTATTCTATCTGATTGCAACTTTGTAACTTTGTACCAGTCTTCCAACCTTTCCTTGGCACCCTGGAGCTGCTCCCTTTCCCTGCCTCCGGTAACCACTATTCTACTATTTCTTGCTTTTTCTCCCTTTTATTTTTCTTAATTGACCTGTGATAATTATACATATTTATGGAATACAATATGATATTTGGGTACATCCATACTGTGTACAACGATCACATCAGGGTATTTAGCATCTACCTCTCAGAGATCAACTTTTTTTAGCTTCCACATATGAGTGAGAACATGTGGTATTTCCCTCTCTGTGCCTGGCTTATTTTGCTTACCTTAATTTTCTCCAAGCTCATCCTTGTAGCTGCACATGGCAGAATTTCATCCTTTTTTATGGCTGAGTATTGTGTATATATACCACATTTTCTTTATCTAGTCATCTGTAGAGGGACATTTAGGTTGGTTCATATCTTGGATATTGTGAATGGTGCTGTGATAAACATGGGAGTGCAGGTGTCCCTTCAACTTGTTGATTTCCATTCCTTTGGATATATACCCGGCAGTGGGATTGCTACACTGTACGGTAGTTCTACCTGTAGTTGTTTGAGACATTTTCATACCGTTTTGCATAATGGCTTTACTAATTTACATTCCCACCAAAAATGTATAAGAGTTCCTCTTTCTCTGCACCCTCGTCAGCATTTGTTATTTTCTCTTTTTTGATAACAGTCATTCTAACTGGGGTCAGTTTATATCACATTATGGTTTTGATTTGCATTTCTCTGGTGATTAGTGATGCTGAGCATTTTTTCATATACTTGTTGCCCATCTGTATATCTTCTTTCAAAAAATTTCTACTCAGTTTCTTTATCCATTTTTTAATTGGATTATTAGGGGGAGGTTCTATTAAATTGTTTGAGTTCTATGTATATTCTGAATATTAATCCCTTGTCCATAAATTCTTTTTTGCTCAAGCTGGATTGAATTGGGGTTCTTTCGGGAACCCTAGATAATACACCCTCCTCCTCCCCCAGCAAACCTGCCCTCCTCCAGCCTTCTCTGCCTTCCACCACCTCATCACTGATAGCTCAGTTACTGCACTGATTCACTTCCATTACCTAAGGTCAGACCTGCAGTCACTTCTTACCTGGGTTGTTACAGCAACTTCCTCATTGGCCTCCCTGCCTCCAGGCTTGTCTACTTCATGCCCAAAGACAGACAGACACACACATGCGTACACACACACACACACACACCCTGCCAAACTCTTTCTGATCATGATCCTTCCCTCTATGGGGTAGCTTAGGAGGCTGCCTGACACCTGGCCCCTCCTACCTGTTGAACCTCACCTGGCTCTGTTCCTACGCTCCAGTCTGAGAACTACTTGCAGCTCCCACTCTCACTTCCAAGCACATGCACATGCCACTTTCAGGGGTCTGCAATCCTTTCTGTGCCACGGAACCCTGGGCAGTTTGTTGAAGCCTATGGATCCCATCTCAGAATAATGTTTTTAAAATCATGGCATAGAATCCATAAGATATTAAAATTATAATTGCATTGATGTACAGTTATAAAAATATTTAAACAAATTTCGGTATGGTAATGTATATGCTTCTTTATTAATGCACTAAATAGAAAGATCTACTGGTGGGCCTCATAACTATTATAATTTTCAAGCAGCAAAGAGTATAAATGAAATTTCAAGTTATGTGCAACAACTGTAATGTGATACGAATACACATGATTTCTGTTGATGACAAAGTCCCAGGTAAGTGTTCATATTGTTTTGGTTTGGTAACTGCAGTCATAATGGAAGGAAATACTAAATTTCAGGTAGAGGCTAGTGACAATGGAGGTGTAACTTTTTTCCTAATTTCATGGATCCCCCAGAAATCTATCCATGGACCCCCCAATTAAGCACCACTGTGAAAATAAAATAATCTCCCCCTCTTCAGTTCTGTGGGATTCGGCTTAACAGCAGCTCCTCCAGGAAGACTTCACTGACCCTCATCACACTAGGTTGGTACCCCTTCTCTGTGCCCCCAAAGTCCCCTGAGCCTCCCTTGATCACACCACCGGGCACATAATTCCATGCAGTTGTCTACCTCCTGGACTGGAGGCTTTTCCACTGAGATCTACAAAAGTGCCAGCTGCCTCGTCCAAACAGGCAGCCTGTTCTGAGTCAAAGCAGGACTATGACAGGCAGGAAGTGGCTCACAGAGCTTGGGACCCTGGGTTCCAGTCTCAGAGTGACAGCTGACACTCCCCTGATGAAGGGCTGAGGACGGTGTAGCCATGAGGAACTGGGCCTTTATTGCTAAACAGATCTGCATTTTTATCCTGTCCCTGTCACTTGTCACCGGATTACCTTGGGCAACTCACTCTGCCTCTCATCTCAGAACTCCAGCTTCCAGACTTGTAAAATGGGGACGATGACAGTACCCACCTTGTAGGGCTCCGGTAGGGATTAAACAAGAATGAATGCGAGGTGCTCGGCACTCGGTCGTAATAATCACTTGACTTGAGAGCTGAACCGTCCGTGTTCACTGTTGTTACCTTCCATTTACTCCTTCGACGAGCATTTATTAAGCATCTCTTGTGCCAGGTGCTTTGCATACAATGAAAGCATTTGGTAATATCAGAGGTAGTTTCTATTATTCCCATTTTAATAACCTCTTCCCTTGGAAGAGAGATGCTTAGTGTTCTCAGACAATTTCAGGTCTTAAGGGATTAAGGTACCAAACTAACCCTAAGGGGTTCTTCCTCCTTCCTCCAAGATCAGGCATTGTGAGGCTAGGGGAAAGACTCAGATTTAGGCTGTCTGGGTTTGAATCCCAGCGCCTGGAAGCCGTATACAACCTAGGCAAGTTACTTCACCTCTTTATGCCTCCTTTTTTTTTTTTTTTTCTTCCACATCTAGAAAGTGCCTACCTCATGGTTGTCAGAGGATTAAAAGACTAAATTTGTGTAAAAGGCTGAAAACAACGCCTCACACACAGACCTCAAGAAAGGTTAGCTATTATTATTATTCGGGGGAACACCTAGCAAACTCCTCTGCCTCCCTCAAGTCCCCCCAGGGAGCACCCATCCCAGTAGGCACCCCTCCTCCCTGAAGCTGGCTCTCCACCAAGCACCCCTTCCCATCAGCCCTGGAGAAACATTGCGGATACCGTAAGGTGGTTAATTAGTAGTGCAGACGTGTGGGTTCAAAGGCAACCGCCTCCTGCTACTAGCTGCCAGGCCGAGGTAGAGTGACTTTACCTCTTCGTACTTCAGTCTCATCTGTAATTTGGGGATAATCGCAGCTCCTCCCTAGTAAAGAGGAGTCGACAGCAAGGACAAAAACATGTATTGAGTGTCTGCTTTGGTCAGGCACTGTGTTAGATGTCTAGGAGCGGTCAAAGTACACGAAAATAAATGAAAAAATGCTTGTGAAGTGCTGAGCATACGGCTGCCGAATGCATATGTTACATGCTGTGTGCTGTAAAAATTTCATGCTCAAAGACGTATATGTGTGCTAGATTTTTACACAAAATATATACATATGAATATTACTGTACACCCTTTATTATTCCTTACCCATTCACTTTCTCATTTATTCCCACAAAACAGCCCTGGAGGACAGGCAGGGCAGAGATTTTATTCCACTTTTACAGATGAAAGGACAGAGGCGCTGGAAGGTTAAAATTAAAAGGCTAAGCTGGTGACCATCAACTGGAGATCGCCGGGCATTTTAAAAAGAGAACCAGAGGAGGGCAATGTTCCACCTCAGATCCCTCGGTGGAGAGCCAGACCGAGCTCGGTGCCTTTGGATTGGAAGGACCGATTGGGGGAGGCCTCAGGGCCAGCGCCAGAGCCCCGAGGGCAGAGGGGAGGGCGGGCGGTGGACACGCCCAGGGCGCACGCGGGCTGGCTGGGAGCTGCCCGCGGGCAGAGGTGCGCACGAAGCGGGGCAGGACGCTGGGTGGCGCTGCCGGGCCGCCCCGCACCAGACCTGTTGCGCACTGGGCGCAAGTCCGGCAGGCTTAGGGAAAAGGGGAGCTCCGTTCTCCCCGCGAGCCCCCTGCAGCCCTCGCCGCATCCCCTCCCTCGGGGCGCCCTACGCCCACCTGAACTTAGGCCTCCCATTCATCTGGCCTCTCCGTACCTCACCGCAACAGTTCTAGGCGCGTCGGGTGGGGCGGGAATAAAGTTTTTCCAACCCGGTTTAGGGAGAGGGCTGGATCGGGAGGACCCTCCCAACTCCAGACTGCATGGCGGGCTGCATTATGCCCCCTCGGCTTCACGGCCGCACCGGGGACTCTGTTTTCGGTAGGTGCCAACCCCGGCGCCGGCCGGCTGGGCTGACCTGTGCACCGCCCCCTCCCACCCCGTTCCCCATCCCCTTCCCCTCCCCCGCCTCCTGCGCGCTCGGGCCCCAGCGTCTCCGGCCCCGCCTGCGCCGGGGTCGCTGCAGTCCCCGCGGCTGACCCGGGCTCCCGGCCCAAGCGCCCCGGCCTTATTCCCGCCTGGGGAGCGCCTCGTAGGGGGGAGCGCGGGACAGCCAGGGAGGCCGAGGCTGGGGCCCCGGGCGCCCCAGCTCTCCGAAGCGGGGAGGCGGCCCCCACTCCGGGAGCCGGAACGCAGGGAAAGGCAAGGACGGGGCGGCCGGCGGAGGGGCGGGCGCCGCTCATCAACCACGCCAGTCACGTCTGGGGCCACCCGGCTGCCTTTTTCTTCCTTTCCCCCTTTGCTTTCTCCCCCCTTCCCGGTTGGCGACGGCAAAGTGGCCGTGGCGGCGCCATGCCCGGGCCGGAGTGAGTGCGCGGGGGCGAAAATGGCGTACATCCAGGTAGGGCTGAGGCTGGGGGGCGAGGTCCGGGGTGCGGGTGGGGGTGCCGCTCCCCCTCCGGCTGGGAGCGCGCCCAAGGGAGGCCACACGGCTAGGCTCCCACAAACTTGCCTCGAGAAACAGGGTGCCCGAGCGCAGGCAACCTGTGCAGCAGCGGCGGTGCGCCCCAGGAGAGGAGGCTGGGGACCCCCTAAACCCTAGGAGGGAGGGCCCTTTGCGGACTCTGCACGCGTGCCTTCGCCTCCTGGGGAAGGGATGGGGGCTGCGGCGGACTTTTCCTCCTCCCTCCCCCTCCCCCTCTCCTTGGCACCCCACCCCAGGGGAGGGGCCGCGGGGAGGGCAGCCCGGGGCGCGCCAGCCACCCGGCCCGCCGGCGGCCGTTGCCGTGGTGACGGCTCGGGCTAATTGACCGGCGGAGCGAGCCTGAGGCAGCTGTTCCGGCCAGGAGGGGACAAGGACGTCGTCTCTACCAGGCTCTGGGTGCTGAGGGGTGGGGGACACACGGAGGCCAGAGGCGCGTTGGCGGGGAGCGGGCAGCCGGTTACTCTAGTGCATCGCATTGGGGTCTGGGAGTTGTGGACCCCCATCACCTTGAAGAAACTCCCCCAAGAATACTTGGGCTGAAATAATTTCCAAACACCTTCTTGAGGGGTGGAGCGTGGGAGGTGGGTGCTTGATTAAGAGACCTTCCTTGTCTGCAAGAAGGGAAGTGGCGACAGGTCAATGCCAAGGTCACGCATCAGACCCGATGAGCTGCTTGCTTCTAGGGCTGGCTCCTCCGAGTCCAGCAGACATGCCTGCAAGCTCCCACGTCCAGAGTACATCAGGGCTAGCATCTTGTCTCCTCTGCCACAGCTGGGGGGCTGCTGCCCGCTTCACCCCCCTCCCCACCCCGTTCCCCTCTGGCTCTTACATCCCCTCATCTTGTCCTCAGACTTTTCAGCCTGTCAGGAACTCTGTGCTCTGTTGCCTGGCAGAGCCTCTCCCGTTCCTCTCTGGCTTAGATTCACTGGATTGGCTTCCCTTTCATGGAATTGCTAGGTCTTCTCTTCAAGTTCAACGAAGGTCACATTTACTATCCTCCTACTATGTGCTGAATGTTGTTGATGGGACTTTTCAGTAGTTGCTTGACAAACACTTGGGTGACCACCTACTATGTCTCAGCATTGGGAATACAATGGTGAAAACAGCACGGTCTGTGCTCCTCTGAATGCACAATCTAGTGAGAAATGAACATTATAACAGGCTTTTATGACTGTTAATGACCACCTTTAGCACAGAGAAGTTAAGTGACTTGCCCAAGGCTGCACAGCTGCTTAGGGGTCAAGATGGGATGGAGGAGATTAGTGGGGTATATTGTTTAGCATCTCATATGGGGATGGCCCACAGATGTTAGCTTTCCTTCTAGAACAAGGTGTTAAACTTTTCCTGTAAAGTTCCAGATAGTAAATATTTTTTTCTTCGAGGCTCACGTGGGCTCTGTCACAACTATTCAACTCTGACTGTAGCGCTAAAAGCAGCCATAGACAGTAGTAAACAAGTGGACTATGTTCCAATAAAAAAAGTTTTATATACTTTGTACAAGTCAAGAAGTATTAATCTTCTTTTGATTTTTTTCAATCATTTAAAAACGTACACGTGATTCTTATAGCTTGAGGGCTGTACAAAACAGACCATAGGGCAGCATTTGTCCGGCGAGCTTTAGTTTGCCAACCTCTTTTTAGAATATGTGGGTTCTCTTTCCTACTTTCTGGCTTGAATTAGTTCTCTTCCATGGGTGTCAGACATGTGACCCAGGGGACCCAATGCGAGGAAAGACAGCGAGCCTGGGGACATCAGTACATCTCACCGTTCCTCTTTCTTCATCTTCCTTGGGTTCTGTTTCTCCTGAACACTCAACTTGTCCTTGGGCCTTGAGAAAGCTGAGTGGCTGTTCCTCAGCTGGGGCAGGAGGTGGCCTTGTCTCTCTTTATCGGTTTTGTAAGTGATTCTCTTTTGATCAACACATGCCCAGGAAGCGCTTCTCTGAATTAAGAGAAGGGGCTTGGATTGTCGTGAAAAACCATCACTTTATCCTAAACATTTAAAGCACCTTCTCATATAAGCCCACGAGGGCATAGATTTTTGGTGCTTTGTTTACTGCTGTATCTTCCAGGACAATGCCTGGTTCCCACCAAGTTCCACTGGGTCTTGACAACCATGTGATTCTCATCACAGAAAGGGTGCATTTTATTTTGCAGCCAGGCAGCACATGAGCATTGACATAGTCAGTGTCCTATCTCATGTCAACAGCACCCCTTTGAGATAAGGAGTAGCTCTTCCACTAAAGAAAAGAAGTAACCGAAGCTCAGAGAGGCCCCCTGACTTGCCCAAGTCATGTGTCTGTTGGTGACGAGGCTGGGAATAGTATGTGGTTATGTGACACCTTGGCACTGTCAGGTCATGTTTAGTGTTTGGTTTGAGTTTTGGTTTTGGAGGAGTTTATGATAAGCTGCAGTTATTCCCTTACCACTGCAAGGATTTCGAATTCTTCAAGGGTCACATACTGTACTATTATTACATTAATATTTTTTCTATAAATGGACTCACTTTTTTTTTACTTCAAAAAGTCATATGAAAAGGAAACTTTATGTCACCACCATAGTAGATAAGCAGGGTCATGTGATATAAGCAGACGGTAACTGGAAAAATCAACACAATGGGAATAATGCCCTGTTATTAAATTCTAGCGGGGTACGGCTATCTCTAAGGCTCTGAGCTGGGAGTCTGCCTTCTTCGTTTAAAAGGAACGGGGGGAGGATTAGTGTTAGAAAGATGTTAACATACAACGGTACCAGATTGAAACTTTCTCCTTGAAAGAGAATGGAAAAAGACAATCGCTTTCTCCCTCTTGATTCAAAGTTCTGAGTTAGGGCATCACCTCTGTTCATCTCTGGGATGGGTCCTAGGCTGGGAGGCAGGACTGTTGCTAACCTACCTAGTTCACTCACCCGTTTGGAAAGCCATCAGGAAAAGGAACAGGGAGTCTGTGCCTTGGGAACCTGTGAGAATAAGACGAGGAGGGACCACAAAAGGCGGGGAGGTCCTCCGTCTTCAAGAGGACAAGATATGTCTTCCTTTTGGGTTCCCTGTATTTGTGGGTGGTCATATGAAACTCCCCCTCCCCATCACCATTGGAGCAGAATTGGAGGGTAGGGCCTCCGGGAGGGCGGGGGCGCCAAGTAACATCCACTCTGTGACTGCCTGCGTGTTAGCTAATCATGTCCTTTTGGGTTGGCTTCATGGCTATTTCTGTATAGGAAGGTTTGCTATTCTCCTGAAGTGTGGCTGCATTGGATAGATGACTATCTATCCACCCGCTCTGATTCATAACAGCACACGGTGCAAATCAAATCGAAATGCTAAAGTTTCCCATTTATTCGGTGCTGGTTAACCAGGAGGCTACCAGCAGCCCTGAAAATAGCAGCAATACCTTGTTAGGAAGTGAGCTCCCTTCCCAGGATGGTAAGTGGAAAGATGCAGGGCTTTTTTAAAGATCTTTTGTGAGTTGCTGGAATATTGCTAAACTGGTCTTGTCTCTTTCTTTTTGTAACCCCTGCACCCCCTTTACACCCCCTGGCTTCATCGTGGATCTCTAAAAGGGCAGTTGGAACCATTAAACGAGGTGGGTTAATTTGATGATTTGCTTGTTCTGGCTTCTAATCAAGAAATGCTTGCCTTTCATTTCGGAGCCTTCTGTGGGGCTGTGAGGATATGGTTAAACAATAAACAGATTTTGATCCCAGCATAGTTTCCATTGCTTTCTACCGAAAGGAGATCCCGGTGAAAAGACACTCGTTGACGAGACAGGTTTCCCTCCCCACCCCTGCTTGTTCCGTTTGATTATCTGTTTACGTTCATGTCACGGAGATTCTTTCCTGAGGATATGGTTAAACAATAAACAGATTTTGATCCCAGCATAGTTTCCATTGCTTTCTACCTAAAGGAGATCCCGGTGAAAAGACACTCGTTGACGAGACAGGTTTCCCTCCCCACCCCTGCTTGTTCCGTTTGATTATCTGTCTGTTTACGTTCATGTCACGGAGATTCTTTCCTTTTTTTTGAATATTTTTTCTTTGCCTTCAAGAAGACAGAGTCATATTCATTGTGTTTCAAGAGCATATTGTGTAGCCCTCATGATGTTGTATAAACCACCCACATGTCAGGAAGGACGTTCACATAAACTACAAAAGAAAATACCTGCAAATGTTTTGCTCGCTATTAATGGCTCCAGAGAGTTAGTGTTTGCCATTTTGTACCTGCAGATGGTAAACAGAAATGGAAAACATTTTGTTCTGAGTATTCAGCTGCAGAGACAGAACTTCCTGAATGTCTTTATTTCTCACTGGGATCGGCTGCTTGTAATTTTGGGTGTCATTTCTCCTCCCCCTTCCTCACCCTCCTCGCCTCCCCTCTCCCCCTCTCCCCAACCCACCTCCCCCAATGGCCTCAGGGTTTTCTTTCTAGAATCTCTGATCTGCTGCTGTGCAGATGGACTTGCCGGCACTGCTGTCAGAAGTGCTACGAGTCCAGCTGTTGCCAGTCCAGTGAGGATGAAGTTGAAATTCTGGGACCTTTCCCTGCCCAGACTCCTCCCTGGCTGTAAGTGAAAATGCTCTGAACTTCCTTGAAATCAATCTCAAGACCTTTCTTTTTTATTTTTCTAAGAGGGTGGGGGTGGGGGGATTGTGGCCATAAGAGGGAGGATTTGGGGGTACGGGAGAGGGGAAGGCTGAGTTGCCATTGACATCTTTGCTGCAATGAAGATGTGTTCTGTGCCCCTCATTTCATTTGGCAAGCTGGTGGGACCAGCTGGTGGTGGAGTTTTAGTTTAGCTAGTTTAACCAGGCTTCCGAGATATGAACCATGTAATGCTAAGCGTGGGGGCACTTCTAGTCACGGCGAGTGTCGTTCCAAGCAGAAAGAGAGATCTGTGAGCATCTATATTCTTCAAGGGATGACCGATTCTAAGGGTTTCCATCCAAGTCAGTGCGACAAGTTGTCCTAGCGCCCAGGCCCATGTCTGCACATAGTAGATGTTCAATAAATATTTGTGGCATGGATAGACAGATGGAATGGACAAACATGTGCCTTTTTGCTGGTCTGAACAATAACCTTGGAATCAGGGAAGCAGATAAGCACCTCCAGGCTCTGTCCCGTCCTCCAACGCTGTTTATGTTCTCCCTGGCATCTTTCATTTTATTTCCAATTCGCTCTCCTCCCGCGCCTGCATACAACATCTCCATCTGCCAGTCGCTCAGATATTTTGGGAACGCAGTTTTGAAGCTTCTCAGCCACGTGTCTGGTCCACCTCTCTGTGGCTGGGAGAGGGTCATAGAGTCTGAGTAGAGTCAGGAAGGTCAGGGCTGGGAAGGGCCTGGAAGTCATCAAGTACAACTTCTCATGGGACAGAGGGGCAGGTCCAGAAAGGGAGAGTGACACACCAGGACTCACACAGCTGGAGCTTAGGGTTGGGAGAAGCAGGGCCATCTCAGCTAAATCCTTGGGCTGAGAGGGGATTTTAAATCTTATGTAGGAGATAAGCAGTTGTGTAAGTCCAGTTGCCCCCTAGAGTCGTGCATTCACACCTCACATACCATTTGACAGTCCTGCATTAGGTTGTATTATGGAAAAATCCAGGGATAATGTCTTCAGGCATAGCTGGATCCAGGGGCTCAAATGATGTTATTGTACTCTCTGTCTCTCTCTGTCTCTCTGTCTCTCTGTCTTTCTCTGTGAGCTGGATCCAGGGGCTCAAATGATGTTATTGTACTCTCTGTCTCTCTCTGTCTCTCTGTCTCTCTGTCTCTGTCTCTGTCTCTGTCTCTCTCTCTCTCTTTGTTTCTTCTGTATTGGTTTCATTCTTAAGCTTGCTTCCTCCATGTGGCAGCACTAGACTTACATCATATCGTCTCTGCATCAAAAAAGCCAGGAAAAGAAAAGACTCATTGGCCCAGCTTGAATCATGTGCCAATCACTTGACCCAGTCACTTTCTCAGAGGTTTGGTTTTTGTTTGTTTATTTTGCAGCTGGCCTGTACAGGGATCTAAACCCCTGACCTTGCTTTACAACACCATACTCTAACCAATTGAGCTAAGCGGCCAGCCCCCCAATTACTTTCACAGGGAGAAAATGGTGTTAGTATCCTGCTGGGTAGCCTGCCCACCCTGGAACCAGGGAAAGCGTCATTCCCACCAGAAACACATGAACTAAGCCAGTAGGCCAGGGGTGGTTAAACTTTTTCTGTAAAGGGTCAGATAATAGTTATTTTAGCCTCATGGGCTATATGATCTCTGTTGCAATTACTTACTTCTACCATTGTTGTGTGAAAGCAGTCATGGACAATATGCAAATGAGTGGTCCTGACTATGTTGCAGTTAACACTTCATTTACAAAATCAGGCCGCAGATTTGGCTCTGTAGTTTGCTGACCTCTGTAGCAGACAACTTGGATGTTGTAACGAGCAAGGAGGGAAAGGATCCAGGGTAGGTAAACACCACACGTGGACGCTACTTCTAGGAATAGTTGGGGGCATCACAGAAAATGGGCCTGTAGGCTCAGGTTGTATAGGATCCTGAATGCCAGATGAAGGAATTTAGATTTTCTTTTGTACAGTGGAGACCGCTTATAGACATTGAGAGTCACAGTGGGGTACCTGTTTGCCCCTAGATACCTAGATGTTGAGTGTTACAGATGCAAAGCCTAGGTGCTAACACTGAGTTGAAGGACAGTTGTGTTTCGCCTTAGCTGCTGACCTTTTGTGCAAGTAGGGGACTCTTTTGGGGGCAACGGTTGGGAACCTCTGGGAAGACATTTCTTTTGGTATTGCCACAAGTAGAGAAGTGGACTAGAACCTTCCCAGCAGGGCCAACACACCACACAACTCCAGGTGGCGCCATTCACATGGTGACCATTACGAATGGCACCACCCAGAGTTGTGCGGTCTACAGCCTGAACAGCTGTACATGACCTTCGTGCTTCCCAGGATGAACCAGGTCTCCTGTGAACCCTAGGCAGTACTTACATTTTTGGCACTCAACCCAATGCAAAATGGTAAGAGAAATCTGTAAAGGGGAGGCAGGTTATGTCATTCAGAAAGCAAATTTATGGCTTGTGATATCCCAGATTTGTTTACCAAGTGGGCAGCTGCAAGTTATCAAACAGGCAGGGGTGGAAATGTCAGGTGCACGCACGGGCTTTGCAGTGCTGTTCCTGCTGTGACATCTGAGCCGATGAGTTGGGCCTTTGTGTGTGCTCTGTGTGTGATCTTGGGGGACACACTTCTAATTTTCACATATTCTCATGTCATGGAGCCCCCAGCTTTCTTTGGCTGGGCTGGGCTGGCGAGGATCAGGGACACTGTACAATCTGACTGGTTCCTTTTGGGGCAGTGCCAGAAAGAAGTCAAGTTGTTTATTTGTTTGTCAAACAAGTGCATGTTGAGTATCTGCTATGCGCAAAGCTCTTAGAGTCCCTGCTCAGCAGTGTGAAGCTTGCCCTCCAGAGTTTGGCATTGCTGGGCTCAATCAGGGTGCTTACCATTCAACAGTGGTGCGAATTAATTATCCATCCCTCCCTCACCCTGGGCTTCCATTTGTTGTCTCTCAAGGGGGTGTGGTTAATAATAACCAGCTCCTGGATTGTTTTAAGCATGAAATGAGATGCTTCACATGGAGCATTTAGCACAGTGCTGGCACATAGTAGGTGGTCAACACCTGATACATTTGATCATAATCAATACAGATCCCACCATGAAGAAGCATTTCCTGGTTTGGGAGGTGTGTGACAAGACATGCACTGAGATCATTGTGACACAAGACAAATCAGATAAGAGCCACAAGAAGGATGCATTCATTCATGCACTCATGGAGAAAAGAAATGTGGGACACCCAAATGTGCCAGGCACCATGCTAAGGCAAGGCGAATACAACAGACACTGTTCCTGCCCGCATGGAGCTATGGCTTACTGTCACACGCAGAAGATAGGCTAGTAAGCCACAACTAAAGTTGAGTTATGGCTGTATTGAGAGGGGATAAAAAGGAGGTGCAGGGATATGGGCTGATGGGGGCGGGACGAGGTGACAGAGCAGGGTAGGGACCTCTCTGAGGAGGTGTTATTGAAGCAGAGACCTGAATGATGAGAAGGAGCCAGATGGGCAGAGGGGACAGGAAGAGCATTCCCCCTCCCATAGCAGGAGGCACTTCTGTATTGATTATGATTGAAGGTACCAGCATGGCTCAGCATGTTTGAGGGCAGGGAGGCCTGGAGGCTGCAGAGGAGGGGTTGGTGGCTCAGGACACACACCAGTGATGGTGTTTAAGCTGATCCTTGAAGGCTGGTGGGACTTCACATGTGGAGGTGGCTGCTGCAGTGAAGTGTGGGAAACGGGACCATACAGGTAGCAGGTGCCCCAGTGACAGTGACATTTTCGTCCTGCCCTTCTCGGAAGATTCTGCTGCTTTTATTTAAGGGAGAGCAAGAAGATTGATTGATACAGATGATCTCATGTCTGTGTGCTCCTTCTCCTTCCCCAGTCACCCACATTTCATCTGCTGTCTTCACCTTTTGCAGACCAGAAGCAGGAAATGTTCTAAGCACCTGTTCTATTTTTCCCCTTATAAGGTACATGGTCTTGTCCTGGCTATGACCCTTATATTGCTTTTGAAGAACATCAGATCAGTTTCACTTGGTGTCAGGATGCATCGGAAGGCCTCACAGAACTCACAACTCAATTGTTCAAGACGAGTTTCCCCACAGGCTTAAATGTCAACTTAGTACAGGATGAAGTCTCAGAAGGCGTAAATCTGTAGCCATTGTGGCTTAGGGGCCTATTATTAGCAGCAGTAGTCTGACAGCCTCATCCCCAGCTTTTCCTCTCCTCGTTTCCCTTTCCCCCAGTATCCTTCCCTAGCTTTATGAGTATTGGGGGAATCTTAAAGCCACCCCTGTTGTAATAATACCAGCTAAAATGTGAAGCACCTACCAGCTACATACCAAGCACTGTTCTAAGCATTTTGTATGTTTTAACATGTTCAGTGTTTACAGCAGCCCTATAAGGTGGGTACTGTTATTATTCCCATTTTACAGATGGGGAAACAGAGGCACAGAGAGGGGACGGTACTTGCCCAAGTTCACCCAGGCAGGATTCAAACCAGAGGTTGTGCTCTTACTTGCTACCCTGTATCATCATCTCCTTTGCTGACCACGTCTCACCCCCACCCCCAGTTTTTTAGCATTTCTCATCATCTTTGGAAGCGCATTGAATCATGGAGGCTGCTGCTAACTCATAGCTGTTTCTTCACATTGAACTTCTGTTCTTAAATCATTGACTCTCAGGGCCATTTTGTAGCTGTAGCCCTGCCACTCAAAGAACCCTCAAGTGACATTGTTGTAGGATATTTTTTAAAGTTGTTCAATTATAGACACAGTGACTGTTGAAATTGCAGGACACTCATCACCAAAAGTCACTTTCAGAATCAGAAATTTGGATTCCAGACTAAAGAGAGACAGGTCTAGGTCTCCACTTGGCCAAAGTGGTGCCCCCGTGTGGCCATAGCTTGACAAAGTTTATACATCCCTCCACCCAACCTCAGCTTCAAAATTATGCATATTCTTGACAGATTGTTCTGCATTGGGAATATTTCTTCACATCCTTTCACACTTTGTGCAAAAAGCAAGACGCCGTTGAGAGTTTAAAGATACCACACTATTTCAAATTTGCATTATTCCACAGTACATAAAATGGGTCTGAGAAATGTTTCATCATTATTCTCACCCCCAGGGGACAGAGATGCTAGTCCCTGGGGGTTTCTTGACAGCTTAAAGATACCACACTATTTCAAATTTGCATTATTCCACAGTACATAAAATGGGTCTGAGAAACGTTTCATCATTATTCTCACCCCCAGGGGACAGAGATGCTAGTCCCTGGGGGTTTCTTGACAGCTATTGCCTCCTCTTCCCCTCCTATAGGATGGCCAGCCGGAGCAGTGACAAAGATGGTGACTCTGTCCACACAGCCAGCGATGTCCCACTTACCCCACGAACCAACTCCCCGGATGGGAGACGCTCATCCTCAGACACATCCAAGTCCACGTACAGCCTGACCCGGAGGATTTCAAGTAAGTATCTCTGCTGTGACTGTCTGGGGCCCTGGATGGCTTTCTCAGACACTCAGCAGAGTCCCCGAGGAGAGATATGAAGGGCAGGATTTTTGCTGGGGGGGAGGAGGCAGAGTGGGGTGACAGGTCCTGGGAGACAGGGTGACAGAGAGTAGTGACAGTGTGACAGAGGAGTGCACCGCACTGGATTTCTGCTGAGTTTAGTCAAAAGCAATCATTTTGATTAACTTTTGCTTTTATTAATCGCAAGTTTGATTGAATTGGCTCAATTGATTGATATTGTCAGCATAGGTCATTTCAGATCCTGAAATGTGAGTGTTACCATGTTAGACAGCAGGGCTTCCTAATTAGGTGACTTTGAGGACCGGGCAGGTTGTGTCAGTAGCTGAGTACAGAGGGTTGGATAAACATTGCCCTAATGTAGTGACAAATGGCAGCTGGTTCTCTGTCTGGAGAGGTACTAGGGCAGGGTTGGGACTGTGGCCAAGTGGAAAGCTAATGCCCCGTTGAAAGGGGGTGAGTAGCTGCTACTCAGCTCTAGTCACTGGTAGCCATGTGGACTTGTTGGCTCAGTATTGCCTGATCTTTCTAAAGAGAAACTGGTAATGTGGGTTTTTATATGAAATTTTCTTACTTTTTTTTCTAGGTCTCCACTTGGCCAAAGTGGTGCCCCCGTGTGGCCATAGCTTGACAAAGTTTATACATCCCTCCACCCAACCTCAGCTTCGAAATTATGCATATTCTTGACAGATTGTTCTGCATTGGGAATATTTCTTCACATCCTTTCACACTTTGTGCAAAAAGCAAGACGCCATTGAGAGTTTAAAGATACCACACTATTTCAAATTTGCATTATTCCACAGTACATAAAATGGGTCTGAGAAACGTTTCATCATTATTCTCACCCCCAGGGGACAGAGATGCTAGTCCCTGGGGGTTTCTTGACAGCTATTGCCTCCTCTTCCCCTCCTATAGGATGGCCAGCCGGAGCAGTGACAAAGATGGTGACTCTGTCCACACAGCCAGCGATGTCCCACTTACCCCACGCGCGGCCTTGGTGTTATCAGCACCGCACTCTACCGAGTGAGCCACGGGCCGGCCCAGAAATTTTCTTACTTTTAAGGTTTTTATATGAAATTTTCTTACTTTTAGACCTAAACAAAATGTATGTATAGGTCAAGTTTGGACACCTCCTTTGTCCACTCTGTTGTGTAGTTTATGTGTTTGAGCAAATGGTGTGATTTGGGTGGGGAGGAGAAAGGATTTGAGCAAATGGTGTGATTTGGGTGGGGAGGAGAAAGGAGGATAAATCCAGAAACTCCTGATCTCCTTTCACCCCACAAGAATATCTCTGATATCTCATTAAGCTAATATCTGAAATTTACTTAATGGAGGCAAAACACTTAAAATTTATGAAACAAGGGCCGGCCCGGTGGTGCACTGGAGAGTGCGCCGCTTGGGAGCGCAGCGGCGCTCCCGCTGAGGGTTCAGATCCCATGTGGAGACCAGTTCCCGCTCACTGGCTGAGCGCGGAGCGGGCGCAGCACCGAGGGTTGCAATTCCGTTGCCGGTCCCCGGTATGGGCGCGACACCGAGGGTTGCGATCCCATTACTGGTCAGTAAAAAAGACAAAAAAGGAAAAAAAAAAAATTTATGAAACAAGTCCACTCAGGTGGAAATAATTGGTGTCTGATCTTTCTTGGGAGTAGATGGGGAAGAAAAAATAGAAAAAAAAAGTTCAAGGGCTTGAAATAGTGAAACAGAGGTGATGTCAGACTTCTTTAGGCTTAGTCCTTCCCTCTGTGAAATGGGAGGGCTGGTCTAAACCTGTGTGGTCCAGTTCAGCAGCCACCAGCCACATGTAGCAATCAGTGTAAAATACACACTGGACTTCAAAGACAGTATAAAAAAACAAGAATTTAAAGTGTGTCACTAAAATGTTTTTATATTGGTTACATGTCGAAATGATAACATTTTAGGTATAGTGAGTAAAATAAAATAGGTTGTTAAAATTCATTTTACCTGTTTCTTTGCACGTTTTCAAAGTTGTGGCTGCCAGAACATTTTAAGTTACCCATGTGGCTTGCGTTTCTGGTTCGCATTGTATTTCTATGGACAGTGCTGGTCTAGATGATTTCTAAGTCATGTGCCCAGCTCTGAACATAGGTGATTTTCATTTAGCACACATCTATCAGAGTACCTCACATGCATCAGGCAAGAGTCTCATGAGGTTAGCTGGCAAGACAGATGTTTGAGCAGTTCACAAGAATGTCCTGAGATCATTGCTAGAATAGAGGGGTAAGCAAAGATTAGAATGATGAGCTTGGAGGCAATGAACTCTTCTGCATCATGGAGTAGAGAGAGGTGGTCCCTAAGTGATGAGCTTGAGTATGATCCCTGAAGAAGTACAATTGTTATTACTGATTGAGCTCTTACCATGGGCACATTCTGTGCTGGGCCCTTTCCAGGCA